ATAATTAAAAACGCTAACCGCATGTTGGGCTTTCTAAAAAGGAACTCCTCTCTTGCCCCACTGTCCTTAAAACTACTTCTTTACAAATCATTGGTCCGCAGCAAGCTTGAGTATTCTTCCGCTATCTGGGACCCCAGTGTAACGCTTGCATTATCATTAGAAGCTGCTCAAAACCGTTTTGTTCGTTTCATACTTCATAACTATCATCGCACATCTAGCGTAACAGCAATGAAAACTACCCTAAGCTTGTCTGACCTCTCTCTACGTAGAAAAATATCTCGTCTATGTTTATTTCATAAAATTTGCCACCACAATGCAAATCTTCGTCAGCATCTGTTAACACAACCATCATATGTCTCATCACGTTTCGACCATCAAAATAAAGTTGGCATCCCTCAGTGTCGCACCTCAAGCTTTCATCAGTCTTTCATACCCATGACATCACTGGACTGGAATCGCCTTCCCGCACCTGTTGCCAGCATAGCCGAGAGTGCCGGATTCAAAGCTGCACTTTGCGAATATTTTTTGGATTTTGTTTGACAGTGTTTTGTTTTAACAATGTTGTTTTTGGATTTTTATGCTTACCTGCCTAATTACTGTTTGTCTTTGTGTGAAATTAGATGTGTGTGTCCACTCCCCTCTATAATGCCTTCGGGCCCTGAGGGAATGAATAAATAAATAAATAAATAACAGTTTGCCGTAAAATGCGCCCTAAGGTTTTTTGTTTTGTTTTTAATTGTTTTACTGACATGTGGTGTTGACTTACAATTGTGTAAATACAGAATCTTTTCACTTAATTAACATAGATTTTAGGGCATTGCAGAGATTCCCAGTTGTCCGAGCATGTGATGCAACAATTTTTCTAGCTTTCATTTTGCTTAGTTGGAACTTTGGGCATTGCTGAATTTAATAATCAATATTTTGCCGTACAAAGCAGACTATCTGCTACATAAGTATAGAATCTGACTTGTAGCCAGGTATTTCAATACAACAGATGGGTAGAGCGGTATGAAATATAACCCCTTGAAGCTTGCACAAAAGGCCTAAAAGAATTTTGTCAAGATGCGCAAATGATGTAAATAAGAAATATATGCTCATAAAATAGGTTAACACAAAAATCTCAAGTAACAGTTGTGCTGCGGTGCCAATAACACCTGCTTCCCTGCAGAGCATGCAGATAGTCAATCACTGTGATGTACTATAAAAGATGCAAAGAAAATTATGAGGCCGAGCTTATTTTTCCATACAAATATGCAGGGTATGCTGTAACACTGACCAACTCAATTCACATGTGCAGAGCCCAGTGCAAATTGTAGTTCTGTAAAAAAAAAAGTTTAAATAAAGGAGACTGCCATTTGCTTAAAATTTAGGGACTTTGCCATTTGCCTGTCTCATTCCATAAACTGCAGTGACAGCACTCTTTGGGGAAAAATGGGCGAGTAGGCCGTGTTGATAGACAATGTGTCTACCATAAAATACCACACAAGCGCCCTCCCAAAGTTTAGATATATAATTACCCAAAAATAAAGAGGGATCTCTTCGTCAGACGAGGACCTAAAATCCAAAATAGAGGTGACCAAAAATTTTAAAAAAGATGCCTAGCAAAAGTGAAATGATGCAGTTTTGCCTGCGCCGTTTTAAGATGCTAACAATATTCGATTAATGAAAAGATAATGTGCAGAGGAGCTAGAGGAAGCTTACCATTTATCATGGTAGAAAAAAAAAATAGGGAGAGACAATGTCTAAACTCAGCTGATCTGCTTTTTAATCATACTCCTTATATACACACAACCTTAATGCCACAAAACCGCAAAACTTTTTAAGGTCTTGCAGTTTTGCAAATTCATGGCATTGTAATTGTGTATATCTAAGGAGGATGACTAAATAAAAATAACCGAAAATATACAAACGCATGAATAAACCTGATTGAGTAAAATGAAGGTTAAGAGGCCATTCGGTCGGTATGGTGCATTCATCCGCATCTTTTTCATTGGTTCCTCTTCAGAGACCACGTAAAAGTATGAAAATGCCTCGAGGATGATTAAATGAACACCTTGGCGGAGTTCGAGACATGCCCAGTCCCTATTAATTTTTTTCTACCACCGTAAACTTTTTTTTTTTTCTTCTGCCCCAGTTTCAGGTAATGTCACTACGATCGTTTTAAATTACAGTTCAAACCGCAACACAAGTCTTCGAAATTTGATCCAAAAATGAGCTCCGGAACTCCTGTTCTCTGCTCAATGCAATCTTCAGTTCCATGGCACTGATGTCGGACAGCCGATCTTGCTGCTTGCCGTTCTCAGGCCCATTAAGCGTGTTCACAATGTCAAAATCTTTAAACAAAAATGCCATAGTTTTTTTTTTTTTTTTTTTCGTTTTGGGGCTGGGGTTCCAAGAGTGGCAGAAGTGTACTGGAGGTTAGGGGGTGACCAAGGTTGGAGGGAGATTTCCCTAGCATAAATTGTTTAGTAGAAGTGCCTCAAATGACTAAAGGGTGATCAGCCCCGTTGCAAAGAAAAGCAATGGGGCCAGTCTTTTCGCCCTTGTTTGAAAAGCCTGCCAGGCTCGGGTTGCGTCTTTGGCCGGGCCCACACATTCCGGCCTGAGCGCGACTCTGCAACGTCATGCTGAGTAAAGCCAGAAGAACTGAAAACCGCTTAGGCTCATTCGTGCACTTCTTTCATCTTCCCCAAAACTCTGTCTCCCAGCTTACTTAGTTCGAGACAAGTAGAGTGTAGCGCATCTGTAGGGCCCTTCGCCGCAACTTTCGTCGGGTACAGCGCGCACATTATACGCAAAAGGAAACTGTTGTAACGAAGGAATTAAACGATGGTGCATATTGACGCGAGTTATGGAAGCTCAGGGGTGTGACAGGTGAAACAGGTTTTGTGGAAATTATTCGAGCAGAAAAATCTGGCATTTGAAGCAGCTTAGAAGCACAAAATTCTCATTTCGAAGCAGGTTTATGCATTTTGGAGCAACTTCGAAGCACAAAAGTCGACAGTTTGTAGCAGATTAGGAGCAGAAAATGTTAGAGTAGCTTATCAGCAATTTAAATCATAAAAAATATAATATAAATCCCATAAATCAGATTTTTTTTTTTTATTGTTATTTTTGTCCACCCTAGTTCCAATAAGTTATCAGCGCCGTTACGCACCAAGATGAAATATGAAAAAAAAAAAAAAGGAAAAGGCAAATGTGAGTTTTATGAGCATAGATAAGGACCAGAAACACAGGCCTGCTCAAAGTTAGATGGGCACCAGGTATCTCAAGCTTATACGAACTAGTGCCAAAGTGCAATTGTAGTGCAAAACTTTTTAAAGTGGTGATTCGAGAACATGAACAGGGGAGCACGGTTTACTACAAACGGACATCGATTGGACGCTCGTAGAAGGTTCAAGTGGATAAGAAGAACTCCCTACATAAGTGAGTCACAAGGTAAATAGTGAATCGGAAGAAAAACTATGAGCACCAGATGCACGCTAAATAAGGGCGAGCGATCGATTCATTCGATTGTTCACGCACTAGAAGCAGGCGTGTGATAACCCAAAGTACTAACGGCGACGGTGCCGTCCATCTTGACGAGATTACGGACAGGAATGAACAATTACCCCACGGAGGCGCTCAATGGCACTTTTAAGAAAAGGTTTACTCTCAAAACGAAAGAAATACTTAGGTCTGCTCATCTTGATAGCCTGTGTGTCGTACCTCCCGCGGCCAGACAGCGAGATGCGTGACAGCACACCGTTAGAATGCAGTCACAAATGACAGCGGAAAGTAGTACGAAAATCGGGAAAATACCACATATCATAGGTATAGAAGGGTACTACAGCTGAAATCTTCGAATCCCGCGATTGAACGTTGCCAACCAAGCTCTTGTTTCCCGCCAAACCTAGCGTCGCCGCAAACTTTTTTTTTTTTAGTTTTTTGAGTGACTTTGGAACAGTGTGGCTCAATTTCAACCGATTTCGCGTTTTTGCCACAACTAGGCGCAGAAAATTCGGTTTGTATCAAAATGGCGCGATAGGCGCAGGTGTCACACCCCTGGAAGCTGCATTTCGACACTAACCTTGCCCCGGCGTTATTCGGCAGTGCCGGTCGGCTCGAATAGCCGAAGACGGCTGCAGAGACGGTCCCGTTCGTCGCGTCATCGTCGGGAGCACGCCAAAAACCGGTAACCAAAGGGTGCTGCTTACTTCCTGCCAGCACGGTGGCCTCAACGTGTCTTCGACCGGCGGGTTTAGCATCCACCGAAGCATCGAGAGTAGTCCCAAAGTGGCAACTAATCGGAGCCGGCGTGTCGTGCTGTCCGACGCGGCAATCACGGCGGTCGGTAGTAGAAACGCCCAAAAAAAAGGCGAGCGGACGCGGGGGTCGCTGTCGTTGCGACGTTCCACCTCGTGTCTGCTTTGGTTTCCATCGACCGTTCGGCTGCGCAGCAACCTACAACAAAACACGCGTCTGCCGCACGCACCTCCGCCCCCACGCCACAGACGGGATCGCAGCGGGCGATAACGCCACGCTTCTACGACGTCGTCGGGTGAGAGTCGAGGGACCACTTTTGAAGATGCGATGAAGGCGCCAGTCAAAAACGTGCCAGAGGCTAGAGTCGTGCGGGGCGAGCTCCTTCCTTCGGACAACCGTGCGACGGATGAGCTCCTGGCGCATGGAGGTAGGAAGCTCCTGGAGGCAACATAAGGCCACCAGAGGTGAAACCGCAAGTCGCTCCAGAAGCGGACAAACTTGCGCTCCACGGGAGTGCAAGTTCACTCGCTTCTTGCGCAGGGGTTGTGCCGGGCCTTCGAGGGTGACCAAAACAGCTGTTTGCAACAAGTCGGCTCTCCTTTTCGTCCAATAGTGTCCCTTGGTTTTGGTTGTCGTTGGGGCGTGTCCCTCCAAACCTCTGGCTTCACCTGTGGTGGCCTCGTGTTGCCCCCGGAAGCTCCCTACACCTGTGTCCTCACGCGACAAAAAAGACTCCGCAAAGAAGGGCCACTGACCTCCGAGTTGCTGGTGGCGGCCGACCCGCTGTGTGGCACGGAGGCCGGGCTTTCAGGGCTGAAGGGCTGGGCACTCCCCAGCTCCGCCTGGGCCCTGCTGCTCAGGAACTGCTTCACCTGCCGCTTCTTGCTCTGCTCCACATGGTAGCGGGTCGGGTTCTCCAGACGCGACTCGACCTGGGCACATGGGGGAGGCGACGGGGCGCTAAAGGACCGCGGGCGGACCGCAAAATGCCTCGAAGGACGCTGCACCCCCCAAAAATATGTTTCTTTGTGCCTGGATGGGGAATGTATGTCACAAATTTTCCTTTTTCTAAAAAAATAAACAAATTAGAAGCAAAATATTGAAACCGCAAACTCGTCTGAGCGATTCGGAAACGTGCACCTATTTTTTTTATCAAAATCTTGAACTAGAATCAAGTTTCCAAATCCCTCTAATGCAAGGCAAGCCTCGTAAAATAAATATTGCAGTTTGCTTTTCTTTTGGGTTTTCTTGGGAAAAGTTTATTTTGTGACACATGTTCTATTCTGCTAAGCAGACACTTAAAAAAACAATTGGGGGGGGGGGGGGGGGGGGTAGGTGCTTACTTACATTTTTAAGCTCAACTTTACGGACTGTACATGTTTGAAAGCTTCTTACATTTGTAGTGAGTGAATAAAGACCCATGTTTACTTTCAAATTTCAGTGTGCAATAGTGTGTTGTTTGGCATATAAAAAATTGCCCTACAATTTTTTTTTTTTACTGCGAACTATATTTTTTCGGGGTGTCCAAAATCACCAGGCTCTATCTAAAATGGGCCGTAAAAATCGGCGCCTGAACGTAGCAGTTTAATCTTTTCCTCAAAGCAGTATTTCAGAGGTCAGTTTTTTCATGAAACATTACAAGCGTACCTCCCTTTCTGAAAAAAAAATAGGGCCAAAAAACTTACCAGGGTCAACGGCGGGAGGCGTCGACTGGCAGGACGTGTTTGGCGCACGTATTGATAAATGACGCTATCTCTTATTGAGACTGCTCGCAACGACTGTGGTCTATTAATATGAACATAATTTTTTTTTTAATGTACCAAAACTTGAAGTAAAAAATAAAAGATGCGGTCGCATAACGACGACACTTTTGCTGCCGACGGACTATGTCTGCGTGACGTCTGCTTTAACTCGTTGGCCGGCTCTACACCTTCCGACGTTGCTCCCGACGCCATCTATTAATAAGTGAGCCAAACGTGCCCAGGCACTTGACTTGGCCGTTTGCATCGCCGCCCGCCGTTAACCCTGGCAAGTTTTTGGGCCCTATCTTTAACAGAAAAGGAGCTTCACTTTGTAATTTTGCACGATAAAACGGATCTGTGAAATACACCTTTGACAAAATGCTTAGATTGCTACGTGCAGGTGCAGAATTTTATGGCCCATTTTAGATCGAGCCTGGTGACTTCAGACACCCCATATATTGTGCGCTAAAGCAAATAACTATATTTTTAAATGGGTCTGGAAGCTGGACCAGCTGCCCATGTCATTTCATGTGCTATGAAATATTATTAATGATTCTGGAGTCAAAATTGCTGTCCCAGCATCACAAAGGAAGCGGTGTTCTTGCTTTTTCACACGAGTGGCAAAAATACAGTTAAACCTGCCTTTTTGTTCTGAGGTCAATTCAAATCTGGGCTGCAATGGCTTTATAAGCAGGAAATTATATGAACAATGGTTCCTTTATGATACTATGTTCTTATGCACTAACAGAATTTCATTCTGTTTACGAGCAGCAAATTAACTATGATTTCGTCGTCATACAATGTTCTTATGCCCTAAGAGGACTTAAAGCTTCAGGATTGCAGGTAGCTTCGAGAAGCCTTCTTTCTAAACCAACAAAAATAGGACTGTCGCCTTCCCAATAAATTATTGGTTCACTTAGGACAGCTGCAGGTGGGACAGCAGCGGTAACACAGCAGGACGTAGCTTTCCGAGTAACGAAATAGAAAAATAAAAACCTCCTTCAGCCATTACTCAGTTGCAAGCCTGTCAAAGAAATCTTTTGGTTTTTTATATGCCAAACTGACAACAGACTCAACAGCAGGTGGCTGAGGATTTATTTAGAACATCTGGGAATCTTTCAATGTGCACCCAAGCTGTATGATGTACTAACTAGCCCATCTGTCACTTTTAATTCAGTTAAAACTTTTAAACCCACCAACTGGAATCCCGTAGGCCTGACTCGGAAACACCAGGGCAGCAGCGTAGCAAGATCATCAGAGTGACATTGTTCATGATGAAAAACAAAAGGGTCAGCTTTTTGCCACTAGTGAGCGGCCACATCACAGCCTCCTCAATATGACTGCCTTCGAGGAAAACTGATGTGGCAGCACCACACTTCGTTCACCCTTAAGGTGAGACTGCAGCCAAAGCTACAAGCGCGAGCTAGCACACGCTTCTGGCTTTGAAGAGTGTTCCTAGCGCGAGCGCTCGTCCTACGGAAAGACGCTTCAAAGCAGAGACTTCGAGCTCTCGTGCTTGTGACATTGACTGCAGTCTCAGCTTGAGAGTAAATCAAGTATGCCGAGACTTTCCCATTCACGACACTCACCACGGTCCGCCTCAGTAAACAGCGGAGCCTAGAGTCGCTCAATGAGCTACGCTCCACAGTAACGACACTTCGGCCACCGTTGGTGTAAATAACTGTCACCAATTATCCGAAGCTTTACCTGAAATCACGAGAGGTGTTTGTCTGTCCTCCAGAAATGCTACAAGAGTCCACCACCGAGCACACCGACGTCGCCTTAGATTCCCGACACCGCATCCAATGCTCGGGAAGTTGCATTTTCAAACCTCAACAATCAGCAACTCTGCACCAGGCAACGAAATGGTGGTGCCCACGAGCCAATCGGGGAACGGAGTGTCAGCACTCTAAGCACGACCCATTTAGTGGCTCTGACAAAGCCCAGGAGCTCACCTGGAGCACTTGTGTGGGCACGAGGATCTCTGCGGGCATCCGCTCCTGGATGCCCGGCACGCAGATGGCCGACGAGGCCGGAGGGGTTCCCATGGCACTCTGCAGCTCCCTCTGGCGGCGCTCCTCCTGCTCCATCTGGTGGCGCATCAGCTGCTGCTTCAGGTTGGTGCGGCTCAGGGGCAGCGGGGGACGTCCCCCTTTCATGGCCGCGCTGCAAGAACGGGAAGGAGAGGTCAGTGCGTCCTGGAAGTGCTCCCCGCAGCAGTCCAGTTAGGAGTGTTTCATTTCTAAGCACGCAGTTATTTGCGGGTGTGGCCATCGACAAATTAGACAACACCGTACAAAGAGAGAGAAACCGGTATTGCTGATGATCATGCCTACAGTCACTGACAGAGTGAGAATGGCAGGGCATGTTTTTCAAACGCTCGGCCTCCAGCATGCGCTCATGCCTTCTGCCATGCTTTGGCCGCGCACACTTGTTGCCGAAACGTGCACGAGACGCCGAAGCATTGTAGAAGGAAGGAAGCTTGTGCTCGAGGCAAGACAACAGAAATTCCTCTCTGCTGTTCTCGTCCCGTCAGCAACTATAGAAGGTGTATGGTAGGCACATAGGGGGGTGTTTCTGTAAAGAAAAATTCACGGCGCTAAATCGTTCTAGCTACTCGGATAGTATTAGTACAATATTAGAGACTTTGATCAAATACGGCGATAATCTATTTGGCGTTCAAAAATTACGAATGTATGCACTCCCCCTAGAAAATACTAGTATTCGAGGTACTGGAAAACTGTCTTTCAGGAAAATCTCGGGCAACCATTCTGAGGCTGCCCAGAAGATTTCGATTTAGAGTTTCTCCTCTCAGCTTCAGTTACTTTTGTGCTTTGGGTTCGGTACGACCTATCTGCCACCGCAATAGAGGAGGCATTTGGCCTCCAAAGTTTCAAGAGAATACTTTCCTTCAAGCTTCATTACTTCCAGTCAAGGTAAAGAAACTCATTTTTATCAAAGCAATCGTCAGTTATATGCTCCAAAGCCTGCAGTCACAAATTAAAACAAAACTTGACATGCTGGGAGATACTAAATTGTTTCCATGTAAAAAGGCCCTTGCCCCACAAAGCTGCTGATCGGCACAATAAACAGCCCAAGGGTTAGTTTATCTCATGCCGTTTTGGATCTTCCAACCTTCAGGCTGATAATGGTAAAGTGGTTGTATAGCTTATCAGTCCCCACTTGCTTACACATACAAAATAAGCAGGGTAACGTCCATAAAACACTCGCTGCTAAACTTTACCAATATTCTGATTTATCTGAAAAACGATGAAATTCGAGCTAAGAATGACAAAAAAGAAGCTGGGGCACCTCACATTAGTCTGGGTAGAAGGCCCGACCCTACTGAGGAGTCAACCGAGGCTCATTTTTTAACCTTGGAAGATTGAGAAGGAAGGCTTGTTTTCTACGTCTGTTCAGAACAGCGGATCAGCGTTGCTGCGTTTCTTGGGCACGAAAGAAGCTAATCTAAGCCTGTGGATTGTACAAGTGACTGTTCAGGTGTTGAGCTTCTAACAAGGAGAAGGAGGGAGTGTTCTTATAATGGTGGGAGCTGCCACTGTCATCACTGCCCACTCAGGCTCATAGCCCTTCCGTTTACAGTGCAAATGCTGAAAAGGAGCTTTTGAATTATCAAAACCTTGCGAAGTATGTTTATCACAAGCTCTTTTCTACTTCCGGCACTGTTAAAACCTTTAACATGTATCTAGAGTTATACACTAGGGCAGATCACTTCTCTCTAATCAAAATTCTGGAGAATTATGAATTAATAAAATTAGCACATAAATTTCAACTTGCAAAGAATTAAAAATAAAACTTAAGCAAAATCTTATCAATGCCGAATTTATGATAAAAATTATAAACTTTTAAATACACCCTCCAAATTCCATCACAAAAAAAAAAAAAAAAAAAACTTTTAAGACGGGAGCTTGCGCTACCACTTTGATGCACGCTCTGAAGTGCGCGCCCACAGCAGTAGCGGGCCTTGGAAAACAATATACTGAAACTCCCTATTATACCATATGTCGATAAAACAAAACACTACAAATTGTGGTGCCATACGTTAAAGCCCATCTGACCATTGAACTGCACCATGCAAAAATATTACATTAATTTTAAGCAATCCTGCCATAACCCCGTTATCATTGGTAGTTGCAGAAACCATTGTTCGTGTTTTATCAATTATCGAAAAAGAAAAATGGGCACTGTTCTTCTTAACAATGAGTAAGCTGCAGATTGCTGTATTAAAAGTAAGTCCCCATATCTGTATTGTCTAAGTCCTTCACTAACTAGTAATAGTAACACCCCTTGAAAATGCTGCTGTCTGTAAAAAAAGTCAAAAGAATATGTGATTACAAAATTAAGCATAAACTTTCAACCAAAGCTCAGGAAAAAGAGAAACTAAATACTAAGGAAAGCTAAGCATGGATACCAGCTTATAAGTGGAAGGGAAACTCGCTTACAAAAAGCCCCAACAAGAAACTTGGCAATCAGCTACCGTAATATTCTGAGAGATAGCCCACCAAAAAGCAAAGGCAAGTCAGTTGTGAAAATAAGGAGTAAAGGCTTATTCCCACGATGCATCTTTTCAACGCGCCTCAGTTTAGCGAAACCAAGATTTCGCCAAATCGGCCTGTTCACACGTCGAGTTTGACGCGCGAAAACTATGACGTATTGACTCACGAGAATTTTGCCAAACCTTGTCATCTGCACCGGGAATACCAAGCGTTTCGCATTAAAATGATATTAAGTATGCACAGTGTGAAGAGACAGTCTGCTTTATAAATACCACTCAATGAACTTCATCAGATTCGGCTCACTGGGTTAGTCCTGCCAAACCCGGGAAAGACCGCGAAAGTCAAAGAACAGGCAGATGATCTCGAAGCATTTCGGACATTTTTGCATCGCTAATAAAGGAAGTTATCCCCACCCATCATGTTTATATGCGATGCTTTTACTTGTCGCGACTGTTGATGGATCTGCACTGCGCAACCAACCCGTACTGTAGGCGCCATTCACACACCTGCAACCGAGTAGGACCAAGACTCGTCGCCCGTACGCACCGCTTCTCCACTTGTCGCTCGACATGTTTGTTTGTTTTCTTTCGGCTTTGGCTTGGATACAGAATCGGCCGAAAATCAGACTCCTCCAAAAGCTCGCTCCTCCTCGAAGGTCAGACGTCATATGAAGTCGAGCAACCATTGGCAGCGTCCGCGTTTCTCTTTCAGGTGATTGACAGGACTCGGTGAGGTTTCAGCAAAAAATTGCTCCAGAAGCGAGGAACACAAGGAACACGCGCCAATTATTTCTGAGACGCGCCCCTTTTTCGGTCACGTTCAGACGGAAAATGCTTCCCGAAACCTAGTTTCGCGACACAAGATTCGCCAATAAGATGCATCATGCGAATAGACCTTAAGGGTGATTCCACGTCAGTTCATGCAATGATGGTCCGGGTCATAATTTAGATATTTTTGTTAAAAATATATATTAAAGCCATGTTCTTGGGAGGAACATTCAGCTAGATATGAACGCCGTAACAATTTTTTTCGCTGAGATATAAAATAGAGAAGCTTGAGGCGTGGAAATTGAGAAGATTTCACAATGCTACTTTGCACAGTCGTCATTTCCTTATCGAACCTTTCACGGCACCATAACTTTTTTAATAGGTTTTGCAAAGGTTATACAACACATACATAAAAAATTAAAAATATCCATAAAATATTTCAATGCAAACAAAAATATCAAACATGGCACAAAAACGTGTTTTAGAGACATATTCACAATTTTTTTGCAAACAAACCATCTTTCATAATACTTCACAAAACATATCAAAATGCGCGTATTTAAATATTCTTTACGAATATATAAAGATAATATGCCCACCCTTAAACATATTTTTGTTATCAACTCGGAAATTCGGCTGATTTCTCAAAATGTGGCAAGATTGGGCGTCGATATTTAAAAAACTCCATCTTTTATTTTCTTTAAACTCCCCTTGGCATTTTGCAGTGACTTGAACTAACCTGTGATGGCAAAAGATTGAGTAACATATGACCTCCAAGCGGGAAAAGCTACGACAAACCTTCACTCGGAGCGAGCCGACGTCTTCGTCATAGCAGCTTTGCCGCACAGCACCAAATGTTTGGGCGTTAGTTATGGCATGTATTTTATATTATTAAAATTCTTTTTTTATACGCAGTGAGTATCAGTGACGTGAAAAGGAACTTTGAGCTGGAATACCATTAATTAGCTTACAATTCACAGGAATAAAACGGCCCCACTCTGCAAATTCGCTACCTATGCATCATAGATAAGCTTAAAACTCTCAGTTGCGCGAATGGCCATGTATACATCTGGCCTCTCGGCATATGATGACTTTCACAGATGAGTTTCCTGGATTCCTTTGACAGGTTTTACGGTGGTCCACTTTGCTTGCTTCACCGCACAAAACTCTCGAACTCGAAGACAGTTGTGAGCACTGCGCAGAGTGGTTTGACGCGTTTTGCGAAGTGCTGAAGGCATGTAGTTCCCACCAGGAACGCAAGCGATTGTACGTGCTTCTGCCACCAATCATCCTGAAGAAAACAATATTGCGTCTGGTGTCGGGTGCGACTGCCTACATGATTGATCAAACATGAAAACTGAAGCGCAAAGGTGGTGTTTGGCAACCCCTGATCCCTACATGGGGAAAAAGGCGAATGCCGAAGACGTGGGGGTTGCAATTGAGTACTACACACGCGACGACCTCGCATGCTCTGTTCAAAGCCCCGACAAAAAGGACGTCGTCAAAGCCATGATCAACGACATGTTCAAAGACGTAAAAAGGTTTATGACCCACTCTATTAAAGGGGCCCTGCAATCATATTTAAGCAACTACCTTTTTTGCGGTTTCCACGTCTCTTGGGGTTCGGACAAGCCAGCAGGCACGGAGAGAGTAACTAAATATTAGTGCGTCATATTTTAACCGGACGACGTGGAAACCACCTCCACCGACGAGGGCGACCCGCGGTACCGAAAACGCGCAAAATGTGACGTCTTTGGTCCTAGGATTACTACTGGTCAAAGCCGCTAAAAGTTTTTTCGTAGTCGAAATACAAAATATAAGTGGCGCGAACCGTTTCAATTATTTATAAAAGAAGTTTTTGTTCAGTATTTTAGATCAGAAA